TTTCTCTCTTTGTAAGTACTTTAAGTTACACACGGGTACTTAATAACCTGTGAGGAGCGAGTAACAAAAAATTATATATAACGTATATATATGTCGCGCAAAAAGAGTTTAAAGATAATATATATTGCGCAGAAACTTACGGTGAGAACAAACCCTCGCATTAGTACGCGTACAAAACGAACACGAGCGACGTACATGCACATAGGAAAACAGTCAGTTTGCATTTTATTTTTCAATCGAATGATCTACGTGCACGTCCTCGTTGTTCCTCGTGTGCCATTGGCATGATCTGAAATTATAATTCCGGAATTGTTTGTAATTTAAAATGGAATGGATGCGCCGTGCGCAACATGATACGCAGCATGCATAAAGTCTCGATAATCATGGTTTTCGATGATTTCGAAAATATCGGTGGTCTGCGACTGTTTTTCTTTTTTTTAATTATTATTCTTCAAGAGACAACATGGCATTTTTGTAATCAGATCGTTCAATCGCCACGAAATCCATGGCACGGATTATTGATACGGATATACTATATGAACAAATGAGAAAAATATATGATTACATATAATTTCAGTAAATGCTGCATTCTTGATTGTCAAACCTCTACTCACGATTTCACTTCAATTTTATTAGGTACAAGTTAGATGTACGGATTTTTAAAACTAAATTCGAACATCAAACAATGTATTTATTCAATATTTTATAAAATTTTTCTTTTCTATTTTATTACATGCTTGTGCAACATCTTATAATTTTTTTATTCTCTTCTTTGATCCTTCATGATCCATTGATCTTATTAGAATGCTAGTATCCAGGTCCGCGTATATCAGGTCCAAGTACAATAAATAAATTTGAATAAATAGAATAACACAAATATTTTTATATAAGTTATATATACAATGAACAATATATGCCTATTACATGCCTATAAATATGGGAATGAAATTTAAAATTATAATATATTATGAAATATATATATATATATATATATTATATTATGAAATTAAAATTATAATGAAAATATTATTATAATATAATGTTATAAAATTATAATAAAATTATCTGGAATAAAAGAAAAATTCAGAGATATAAGATAATAGACTTGTTCAATCAAATTTCGTGCTTTCAAGTTTAGACTTATAGGATATAAAACCGCAAATTTGATCTTTCTGGTGTTAATATTTAATCTCATCTATATAATCAGATATTAAAGTAATTAAATACACGTACATGAACTATATAAATCAAACTTTCCACTGACGTATTATACTTGCAAATTACTAGAGCGCGGATTTTGATGCATTTTAAACTTTTTATAGATATAAAAAACTAAAAAAAGAAGAGTGAAATTACCTAGAGTATAATAAATAATCTACTTTTATATATTTTTGCGTATTGTGTACATGTTTGCAACATCTCATAAATCTGCATACAAATTACTAACAGTCAATTGTTTTAGTTAATTGCATTATGTGCATATCTAATATCTACTTTAATTCCGTGGAATTGTTACCATTGGATCCATTAGTATCAATAACAATTGTTTGCATCATTTTTGTGATTAAATCGATGAGCATCAAGAATTGTTTGCATTATACAGAATTATCGCTCACCGAAGATAAATCGAATAATAAAGATCGTCGAATACACGTTGACGTTAATAGGTTCGTGGAAAACGGAATTTTTTTTCAAAAGGAAAAAAAATAATCGAGTGATAAGGGTGATGCAAACGACCTACGGGACGTGATAAACAGCCGAGAAAAGAGAATACGAGATTACATTTTTATCTGTTCAAGATATCGCGGTGATATTTGCTACAGGTATTCATCGAGGAGAGATATCGCGTTGCAGAAAGTGAATTGTTAGGCAACTCATTTGTTTGTTTTTTCAAAAACCGATTGACAAAAACTGGCAAGATTTACGGTTCACCGTGAAATCAATATTTGCGTAATTGTATAACAAACATCACCTACAGTTTTACCGAAAAACGCACAGAATATCACGCAAAACAAATGTGTGCGTATTTATGATTTTTCTTTTCTTTTACGTTTGAACAAACTTCTCTGTTCGCACGTTTATTTTTCTCGCGAAGTAAAATCTCAAAGTTAAATGTGTATAGTAAATATTCTCAAAGTTAGATAAATATTCTGAAATTTGCATTTAATTCCCAAGTGATGTCATTGAACCATGGAAACTATAAAAATTTAGAGTTTTAATTACTCGCTTGATCAGATTACTAAAATTCAAAATATTTGCTTTCAGTTCAGAGTTATTAATTTATTTGAATTTTATTATTAATCTTTATCACTATGAGTATAAAGTACAGAAAATTAATATTTTAAATCCATCAGTAGGATCTTAATTTAAATAACTTAATTTTGAAATTTTTAGTTTAATTTAACTTCATTATTAGCTTCTATCACGATGAATGTAAAATTAAGCATTGTAAATTTTAGTATTCTAACATGAATTATTTTATAATATTCAATCATCCATAATTCAACGATATCGTTTAAAAATTAATAATTGTTATTCCACATTAAATTAATATTTGATATTAATTTAATCTACATTCGATATTAGTTTAATATTAAATCATTAGACTATTTTTACACTGTTCTTATAATATTTCCTCTTTCGTTCAAATTTCGTTCGTTTCAAAATTATAAAAATTAGATGATGCTCAGAAATATTATATAGCAATTTTTATGGTAAATCTACCATAAATTATCTATGATTCGACGATTCGAGTTAATTCACATGAAATCCATAATCGAATTTCTCATATATTTAATAATAATACGGCTACTTAACGAAGATCAATCTTCGACTTCCACGCATGATTTCGTGTTTATCAAATCTTACCGCTTGATAATACAATAACCACGGTGCAATCGCATAATTTGACTATTCAGAGAAATCGATTACATCGATCTCGTCGAAATTTGTTTACATTATCATACACCTTTATTAGAAAATAAAGGCGTGATCAGATGGAAAACTATATCTAAAAGGTTCCATAGACCGCCGATCTATGCAGCTGATAACTCGCTAATACTTAATCTATATTATCTATATTGTCCACTCTCGAAATAATTACATCCTGACAGAAGTGTATTCTTAAATTCCTTGCAACTGGTTTTATTATAGAACGACGAATGCTGCAAATTATGACAGCTTTAAACTTTTACTCGATGTGCATTTCATGGAAAAATTGAAAAATTCACCATGGTGAAATTAATTGCGAGAATATGATGGAAATGAGATTGGAATATAAATGAAACGATCTAGATATAATATTAAATTTCACATAGTAATTTTAAATGGGTGTAATAATCCCTAAATTTTTTTAACCAAACAGATTGCCTTCTAAATATGATGACACCTATACTATACAATGGAATTTGCATTTTAAGCGATAGCATCTGGAATCAGATCAACTTCTGGTCTATCTGCATAAATAGATTCAGAATTAGAATATATCAATGACAAACAGAACTTTGGAGAATATACTTTGACAATCTATAAGTTTCTGTTATATCTCACAATACTTCCACAGACTTCAGATCTCTTTTGTTACATTTCTCAAAGAACATGTGCCACAAAACTGTGCTCTGTAAAATTGTCGAAAAGTTAAGAAGAAAGAATATCGCACAAAATACGAAGACAAGTAACAGAGTTAAATTAAATTGTATTCAGACGAATATTTAACGAAACCGCGAGAGAGCGGAGCGTGGATGAATCATGAATCTGTCGACAACGCGGATCCAGCCTAAGAGTAGTTCAATCTACGCGTGTACGTCAATGAAACGAGCCATCGTAATTTTCGAAATTACCCACGACACGATTACTTTGTTTGTCACAATGCACGTACAACGTTATGTTCATTGTGGTCGTTGACGTCAGACGCATCGCCAGTACGAAGATTAGATACCAACCGACCTAAATAGGTATCTCGTCTCTCTCGTTGGTGAGAACGATCAACCGTGAACCGTGGTTGTTACGGAAGGAAAGACGAAAAAAAAAAAAAAAGAATCCGGAGAAGTTAAATCCAGAGAAACGACACGGATGGGAGGTTTTCAAGCGTGGGACGTGAATGATCGGTCTGCTATTTCAGGCACCGAGTGTTCTAGGTCAAGAACGTAGTACGATACGAACGCGGTGCGAAACGAGGAAGAGCTCGACTCCACTCGAACTTCGAACTCCACGCGCTACGAATTTCGTGCACAACTATTCGTCCACGTATTGGCGATCGATTTCTCGCTGATGCAGCGACCGATATCACGGAGACCATTCACGAACCGCGCGCGAGCGTCATGCTGCGAGCCTGTTTATCAAGATATCAACGAAGAGCATAAAATATAAGAGAGCTGGTGTACAGAAGTCAGTGTTGTGCTGGATTTCGATTTCGATCGAACGCGATCTTTAGACTGGATACGTATTATCGTTGGAATTTCAAGAGTGATCCTCGAGAGTGAATCAAGAAAGCAGACATGCGGTGAGAAGAACATCTTCACGTGATATAACTGCGCATGTTAACGTAGCTTTTACGGTCTTACTGATTATTCAGTTTACTGAGGAAATATATCGCACGGAGAAACTGATCAGCTTGGGGTGATCAATTGACTAACCAGTTTAACTAATTTCAAACAATTTCGTTTTGTTTCGTCAGTCTGAATAGTTGGATGATTCGAATAGTTTCAAGAGTCATAACGCAAACATATCTAATTATAATAGACGTGAAATGTCTAATTAAAGCTGTTTCATCTTCTTGTTCGAAACGAGCTAGATTCTAGTCAGCAGAGTAACATTCTAACGCTGATGATTTAATCGGATAGTCAGTTTGTTCCAAACAAATCAAATTCCCAGTCGGCGATACGACCACGTTACGCATGTTCTATTCCGATTTAACTTGACAGTCAGCTGAATAATCTCTATGGCCACTACTCACTTGCTACGTTTTCATTCTAAGAAAGAGATTTCGCTCTAACGATAAGATGGTTTTAATTCCTTGGTCGTTCTTTAGGATTTGGGTATTATTTACTCTTCTGTTGATCGTTACGGTGCTCGCGTCCGAGACGTTGGCGAAGAAACCCAAGGAAGGCAAGGAAGTAGAATCGAAGCGTGGCTACGAGAAAAAGAAGAGGGACGTGGCGTATTCGAAGTGAGTGCAATGGAAAGAAGTGCAATTAAGATGCGTTAAGATGTACGCTCGTCGTCGATGGCGATGGTTACGCAATTGTTTTGCTCCCGCCCTCGGTCCTTATCTTGTCACGGGTGACGGACCGTTGCTTCTGCTGCAATTTTACCGCGGCGAGATTTTGCTACGATGCCGGATTTCGTTGTTTCAGGGAAGGGAAATGGAAGAACGGCGAAGACAAGAAGCTTCAATCGAGGAAGAGGAAGAACAGCGCGTCGGAAGAGAACAACCTGGAGAGTGTCGCTGAGAACGAAGAGTTGAGCAAAGGAACAAGCAAATCGAGGAACAAGAAACTAAAGGAGAAGGAAAACGTTGATCCGAAGGCCGCCGAGTCAAAACACGAATCGAAGAAGAGGAACAAGTACTCTGGCAATTCTCAGGAGGCTCATCAGAGAGATTCGAAGAAGTTGAAGAACAAGAAATTGAAAGAGAAGAACGTGGATGAGCGGAGCAACTTGGAAAATGAAAAGAGGACGAACGAGAAGGTAAAAGGTGGAGAGGTGGCCAAGTCTGAGAGAGCTACGAAGGAAGGCAAGAGGAAGAAGGCTCAGAAGAAAGAAAAGGAGACAACGGTGCAGGAAGAAGTGGAGAAACCACCGATGGAAGAGGAGGAAGAAGAACCTAAGCCGAAATCGGTGTCGAAGAAGGACAACAAAAAAGCTGAGAAGAACAGGAAGGATAACAAGCAGCAGAAAAATAGGAAGAGACGAGAGATCTCAAAGAACGAGGTGGAGGATTTGGAAATTCTGCCAGCAGAGGAGGAAAATGCAGCAAACGGAAAGGTGAAGAGTTGTTCAGTGGCGAAACCTGAAGAAATAGAGAACGATAAACTGGACGAGAATTGCGCGGATGACTGCGACGAAGCGTGATGATTTAGATATTTTATTATACATGCATTTTATGAAAATTTCATAAAATTTATTTTAAAATGTATTTTATGCTCCATTAATGAAATATTGAGAAGATCGTTGAATTTATAATGATGATGTTTGTTGTTGGGATACAGTCAGCTAATATGAGATCTATTTCGTAAGAAGATAATAATCTCAACCAAGAACACTTTTATTAAAGATAGGAGTAAATCAATCGTTTTTTAAAAACAAGATATGTGTTCTTTTGCAATATATTAGAAATTTGTGAAATACGTTGCAAAAATGACTGTTTAGTTGTAAATAATTTCAAAATTGCAAGTGTATAATCATGTTCTGCACTGTACAACAGTATGTATTTATGGGAATAATTATATTCCGTTTACAATTCTGTAGGAAGTTATTTATAATTAAATCTAACCACTTTTTCTAATGTATTTCACAAATATGTGTTTACTCGCTTAATAGATTTCAATACTAACTTTAGGCGGAATAATATAGAATTAAAACAGCATTGCTATAATACTAAGAGTTCTGTAACGGAGATAAATTGAAGAGGTTTCATATCAGGCAATTTTATCCAATAAGAGTTTTCACATCTCGATCTCGACGAATCATAACAAAACACGTTGTACGAAATCTCATTTAATTTCATTTCTCTTCACATCACAATACAAATGTTACGTTATTTACAAATATCTACTGTACGTATCTTCTTCAACAATTAATTGCCTTTAAAGCGCATCAATACAAATACACTGCGTTACGATAAAGGAATAAATATTTTTATAAATCTCTTCTCTTGACTTTCTTTTCTTTGTTTTCTTGATCGTCTCTCTCTCTCTCTTACTGGACTCGACCCTCGAATGTGGCCCTCCAACCTGTTCCAACGTTGTTCATCGATGAAATATATTTCACTATCATTCGATTGCTGGTGGCTACGAACGGTGCTGGTTGATCCTACGAAAGCAAATAGAAATTAAATAGAAAACAATTATCGTTTCGCTTCACTTCTTTATCACGTTGTATCTTCTCATATATCTTTCTTTTTCTGTGATAATCATTATAAAAATTGTGAAAGTTATAAAATTACATTAAACTCTAAACTATGTGTTGCTCTTGCTCAAAAGAGCATGTTAAGATTTCAAAAGAAATAACCACTTCTTCCAGTAAATAAATATTTTATCCGTGATATTATCCTCTTATAGCGTTGAAATTTAAATTAATTATATTTAAAGATAGAGACAACTAAATAGTAAATAAATATTCACTTAATTCTTCAAGTAAGTATTATCATTTTATACTATTGAAATTTTCATTAATTGCTTAATTATTTTTAACAAAGTTTCTCAGAAAAAGAAGTTCAAACGTATGTGATAAGTGCTCCAAACTTTTAAGTGGGAGCTCTATTTTAATGATAACTGTTAAATATCTATTTCGTATCTTATAGACTCGATAGAAACATCGAATTTATCTGGACATTGAATTTACCCCTCCGCAATAAGTATTTGCAAGAACTGCCTCTCCATCCGTCGTGACGTCATACATGAACACGACGTTGTAATTATAGTTACAGGTGCTCTTCGTGCCGATATCGAATACTGGAAACTCGACGACGACTTTCATGCTAGTTGGCACGGTAATATCCCAGAAACATGTCGAGATATTGCGATATTCGTTAGGGTACAGGGGTGATGTAAACGATCCAGCGTAATTAAATATTCGGCCTCCGCAGCCACGACCTGTGTATCATCAATTAACAATTAACGTCACATTAATCGTATTTTTATGCATTTATGAAAAACTGGAAGTTGCAAAAATGCACGTATTACGCATAATACGTAGAAATATATAAAATATCTGACGTAAAAATATTTATCGTAATTTATTACAATAATTAGCAAATAAAATCTCTATTTAGGTTTTATTTCTTTGGTCTAGGTTTCATCTCTTTTGTTGTATAAAGGTTTAGAAATCATGAACGATCAGGAAAATTGAAATCGTTCACGTGCAGGCCTAATTTTTTCATCTTTCTAAACTTTCGAGAAATGTAAAGAAATTTTGGTTCGCTTAATGAAGTTCTTGCTACAGTATTTATACAGCCAGTTTTTAAATCGAATCCTGAAGAGAATTCTTAAAAAGTATAAGAACTTGCAACAATTATTTCTACTCGCTCTTTCTATGCACGATGTTTTTCACGTCGTGTGAAATCTGTCTATTTTCTAACCTACTCAAGGACCAATTCTCAAACACAACACACTGATCAGTGATACGTTACTGCTTTAATACGTTCTCTGTGTGAAATCTCTTAATATCAATATGTGTTTCTGGTATCATTATTGACTTTTCTAGAGTATTTTAGTACGCTAGTTGCGTGTGAAATAACTTTTCTGTCGTGGCACAGTGTACCCACACGCATTATTATTTTGCGCATTGTAAATTTACTCTCTTTAAATTTCATAAACTCGTGGAAGATGAAAACACAACTAGATGAAAAAATATTAAATGATAATTCTCGGAACTTTCTTCCATACTGAATAATAGAATTTTATAAAAACTGCAAATCAAATGTTACATCCTTCATTTTCAAGTGAACTATCGCGATCTCTGCGTTTAATTTTAAAAATAGTAATTTTAATTTGAATTTTAATTCAATTCGGGATAAATTAAATATAAAGAACAATTATTGAATTAAACTTGTAAGTCCACTTGAAGGTTAATGGGTCAAACTGTAAGTATGAAATAGTTAATACGGTAAAAGAGTCATTCACACTATTGCCTGCTACTATATACTAATATCTAATACAAATATCTGTTCTTACCTGAGGCTGTGGTGGTGTACGTGATATCGTAGAATTCGTATTTACTGTGATATTGGGACCGGGAATGTAAACTCAGCTTGTTTCCGATACTGAAAATAGGACTAGGCAAATCCATGGTGCACAATGATGCTATTAATTTACCGCTGAAATTACCATCGTACACCTAAATGCAGGCGAACAGTCAAGTAGAAACAGAATTTTTAGTCAGACAATGTAAACACAGTGGCTTGCAGAAGTATTCGTGCATTTATCAGTAAAAGATTTTTATATATGTATATTTCTATGCATATTGTGCATACTATACAGAATGATAATCAAATAACAATTTCGAAATTTAATTTTGAAAGTTAGTTAACGCTACAACGGCACGCTATTTTTGTGTCATAAAGTCTCAGACAACATTAGTATAGTTTACATTCTGTGATTCACTAATTAATTTAAATAAAGATTTAGAACAACGTAATACGTTAGATTTATATAAAATATAAATAAAGTATAAAATAGAATATAAATGGCAACGTTCTTATCAAGTGTTAACAATTATTTAAATTAATTGGCAAATCACGGAACATAAACTTGCCTGTATACTTATTTCAGTTTGATGTTATTGTGACAATTGTATTATAATATTAAACTAAAATTATACTTTTGTTTGACACTATATATAGAAGTTACAAGGACTCCAAATATATATATGCATTGTCAAAATTCGTATATCATCATTTTACATATGTAATAAATACTAAAAATACAGACTTATTATTAGTCTAGACTATTTAAACATTTTTATGATCTCTACGAAACGAAATATTTCCCAACTTTTGTCTACATTTTGAGAATGGTTTAAAATCTCATCAATGTAATCGCGACAGGTGAGTGTGCTAATAGTGCTAATGAAATTTCGAAATAAGAAAGCACAACACGCCTTTAATAATATATTTATTAACAGACTTTGCGAGCCACTGTAAATAAAAAAAAAAGAAAACTAGAACACTTGCTTGTAAGGTGTTCTCCGTGCACTCGTTCGGATCGTAGAGCGAGAATTGGTTAAAGTAAAGAGAAATCGTGTGATTCTCAGGGGCTGTTATCGTGATCCAACAGTCGTTCACACCTTCGTGCACGATTCGACCTTGTTCTGCAGTGAAATTCTGATCGCAGTTCGCCTTGCTGTACTCGAGCTTGAAACCTTTGTGACCAGTAATCGAACCTTTGAACGTCAGGTCCAGTTCGGTGCTATAACTGCATCGAGGAAGATTACAGGTTTAATGCCTCGAGTTTTAGATTCTGATTAGTCTGAGGTTTCGTCATTTACCTGTAGTAATTATGAGGCAATTTGTTGCTGCAGTATTTGCACGAACCGGTTGCCGTGAAACTGGCCTATAAATTATTAAATTAAGTTGAAAATAGTATGAGATTCTATGGGATTTCTATTCTATTAAATTTTATTATAAATAAATTCTCATGGCTAGGTTAATGTGATAGCTAATAAGATTCAATAACTTCTATTTTCATTTTTTATTACACTTTAAATTGGAATTGAAAAATAAATGACAAGCTGCGTTGTTGCATTATTATATTTAGGATAAATATTCTGTGTAGGAAGATCGTGTGATCGCTTAAAATTTTTACATGAATAACACGTTTGAATGGTCTTAGACAGAAAATGTCCAATAGTGTGTGAAAATGTCTCTTTTTTTCTGAATTTAATTGATATTATCGTATCCATTTATGTTTTCCATATATTTTCCATTTCATAAATAAGTAAATATTAATAATAATAATAATAATAATAATAA